CTCCTCTCTGCCCTCCTCTCTGCCCTCAGCCCTCCTCTCAGCTCTCAGCCCTCCTCTCAGCCCTCCTCTCAGCCCAGGCTCCCAACCCAGTCTCAGGATGCCAAGTGGCACCCTAGACATTCCCTTTATAGTGCACTACTTTTGACGGGAGCCCTATTGTCCCAGGTCAGAAGTAGTGCACCATGAAGGGAATGAGGGCCATTTGGGACACAAGCTCAGTGTCTTGTCCTGACTTGAGCTGAACGGTGAACCTGACACTGATTCCGACACAGAGGAGAATTAATGCAAATTCAATTGCTGACATTTGAGAGGAAGATCAATCATTTTGGTGACTTTGTAAAGGACATTTTAATTTAAAACTGGTGAACGGCACACAAAAGAAATGTACTGTGTGATTCCACTTGTATAATAGGATGAAAAGTCCCATGCACCGTTCACCTTGTCGTCATGTTCACGTATTCAGCACTTTAATATAATCAGCTCTGGTTCTCTTGACTGTGGCACATCAGAATTGTCTCCCATCCTAGGAGCGACCAGGCCCAACCCTGCTTATCTATCATCAGAGACAAGCCAGCAGTGAGTTGCAGCAGGATAGTACTGTATGTAGACTGCTTGCTGCCTGCTTGCTGCCTGTTGGCTGCCTGTTGGCTCAGTACAGGCTCTGAGATGCAATCTCTTTCCAGTTTGCTAGGCTGTGTAGTGCAGAGCACGCTGTTTCCAGTTTGCTAGGCTGTGTAGTGCAATCTATATCCTAGCCAATCATACCCTATGACAGCAATGGGGATCACAAATCACAATTTTGTCCAGAACTGCGAGAATATGTCCGATATTCACCTCGCATCCTCAACAGACCAGGCTTCCGCCCAAATGGCACCATATTCCCTATATTGTTTCCAGTTTGCTGGGCCGTGTAGTGCAGAGCGTGCTGTTACCAGTTTGCTGGGCTGTGTAGTGCAGAGTGTGCTGTTTCCAGTTTGCTGGGCCGTGTAGTGCAGAGCGTGCTGTTTCCAGTTTGCTGGGCCGTGTAGTGCAGAGCGTGCTGTTTCCAGTTTGCTGGGCCGTGTAGTGCAGAGCGTGCTGTTTCCAGTTTGCTGGGCTGTGTAGTGCAGAGCGTGCTGTTTCCAGTTTGCTGGGCCATGTAGTGCAGAGCGTGCTGTTTCCAGTTTGCTGGGCCATGTAGTGCAGAGCGTGCTGTTTCCAGTTTGCTGGGCCATGTAGTGCAGTGTGCTGTTTCCAGTTTGCTGGGCCGTGTAGTGCAGAGCGTGCTGTTTCCAGTTTGCTGGGCCGTGTAGTGCAGAGCGTGCAGTGTTTTTGTGCTCTTCCCGTGCCCTGTGTCTGTGTGACAGCAGGACAATGGGCTGACCAGGGAGCAGGCAGGCAGGGCTCCAACTCCAGAGAGACTGCATCATCGCTGGATTCACACCCACCACCCACACCCTGCCTCTGTCTGGATTCCTCTCCTCCGCTGGCACAGGCCATACTGGGACAAAACCAATAACTAGCCTACTAATTTTGCTGCACTTGTTCATTGTCTTACATCAGATTCCGCCTGCACTGATCTGTCTCGTATCTCGCAAAGGATAATGCGATAGATCAGAAGTAGTCTGGCTACAATGGACGGACAAAACATTCAAAATATTACCTAGGTGACATCGTCTGCTGAACCCCATTTCTGCTTCAAAACTGTCTGAATTAATCTAAGCTAAAACAGTAAATATGTCAATGTTCGTTTTTTTGGTGAGGAAGCCTTAGTTGCCCCATTTTACATCTACAGTGAGGGAAAAAAGAATTTGATCCTCTGCTGATTCTGTACATTTGCCCACTGACAAAGACATGATCAGTCTATAATTTTAATGTTAGGTTTATTTGAACAGTGAGAGACAGAATAACAACAAAAAAATTCAGAAAAACGCATGTCAGAAATGTTATAAATTGATTTGCATTTTAATGAGGGAAATAAGTATTTGACCCCTCTGCAAAACATGACTTAGTACTTGGTGGCAAAACCCTTGTTGGCAATCACAGAGGTCAGACGTTTCTTGTAGTTGGCCACCAGGTTTGCACACATCTCAGGAGGGATTTTGTCCCACACCTCTTTGCAGATCTTCTCCAAGTCATTAAGGTTTCCAGGCTGACGTTTGGCAACTCGAACCTTCAGCTTCCTCCACAGATTTTCTATGGGATTAAGGTCTGGAGACTGGCTAGGCCACTCCAGGACCTTAATGTGCTTCTTCTTGAGCCACTCCTTTGTTGCCTTGGCCGTGTGTTTTGGGTCATTGTCATGCTGGAATACCCATCCACGACCCATTTTCAATGCCCTGGCTGAGGGAAGGAGGTTCTCACCCAAGATTTGACGGTACATGGCCCCGTCCATCGTCCCTTTGATGCGGTGAAGTTGTCCTGTCCCCTTAGCAGAAAAACACCCCCAAAGCATAATGTTTCCACCTCCATGTTTGACGGTGGGGATGGTGTTCTTGGGGTCATAGGCAGCATTCCTCCTCCTCCAAACACGGCGAGTTGAGTTGATGCCAAAGAGCTTGATTTTGGTCTCATCTGACCACAACACTTTCACCCAGTTCTCCTCTGAATGATTCAGATGTTAATTGGCAAACTTCAGACGGCATGTATATGTGCTTTCTTGAGCAGGGGGACCTTGCGGGCGCTGCAGGATTTCAGTCCTTCACAGCGTAGTGTGTTACCAATTGTTTTCTTGGTGACTATGGTCCCAGCTCCCTTGAGATCATTGACAAGATCCTCCCGTGTAGTTCTGGGCTGATTCCTCACCATTCTCATGATCATTGCAACTCCACGAGGTGAGATCTTGCATGGAGTCCCAGGCCCCTAGGAGATTGACAGTTCTTTTGTGTTTCTTCCATTGGCGAATAATCGCACCAACTGTTGTCACCTTCTCACCAAACTGCTTGGCGATGGTCTTGTAGCCCATTCCAGCCTTGTGTAGGTCTACAATCTTGTCCCTGACATCCTTGGAGAGCTCTTTGGTCTTGGCCATGGTGGAGAGTTTGGAATCTGATTGATTGATTGCTTCTGTGGACAGTTGTCTTTTATACAGGTAACAAGCTGAGATTAGGAGCACTCCCTTTAAGAGTGTGCTCCTAATCTCAGCTCGTTACCTGTATAAAAGATACCTGGAAGCCAGAAATCTTTCTGATTGAGAGGGGGTCAAATACTTATTTCCCTCATTAAAATGCATATCAATTTATAACATTTTTGACATGCGTTTTTCTGGATTTTGTTGTTGTTATTCTGTCTCTCACTGTTCAAATAAACCTACCATTAAGATTATAGACTGATCATTTCTTTGTCAGTGGGCAAACGTACAAAATCAGCAGGGGATCATATACTTTTTTCCCTCACTGTAGCTAAGGTTTATTGTGCTTCAATGAGCAGTATTTCTGAAGTTTGACTATGTGCACGAAAACTAGCATAAAACAGCCGAGCCAGTCACTGAAATGATATTTTACTGAAACGATGCTGCTAACCAACCAGCTATCTACTTAGTACTGAACACACAATGTTGAATCTTCCAACAAAAGCTAGCTAGCAAGCTACTGTAGCAAGTAATGCTAATGCTAATGTTATTATGAGTTTTCATGAAGCAGCTGTTCCTCCCGAGTCAGACCCCAAAAATACGATCACGGAGAAACATACTGATCTATGGACTGATTTTTGCTAACAGTCAGTTCGTCTTAATTGCGGGGCTGCATGTCTACAACTTCAGGGTAATTTAAACAGGGTAAGCAAGCTTTTTATGTCAGTGAAGGAGGAGCTAGCTGACTAGCTAGCTAGTTATGTCAGTAAGCTAGCTACAACAGTTAGCTACACAGCTGATCAAGTCACTGCCTGGCGACCAACATCCTGGCACAGAATGTGTGCAGGAGATAGCCACCGCTTTGTTTTTATTTTCTCACAATTGCAAATTATTAAATCACTGTCAACGTTTGTTAAAATGTAGCTAGCTAGTTATTCTGCCTATTTCATGGAGAGTCATACGAGAGCACAGAGATATTTTTTGAATGGCGGATGCTCTATATTTGAATAGGAGTTCCACATCCTACAAGACAGAATGGTGGAGGGACGAGCGACTGGGAGGAGTGTCTAGGGTTCTTCGTAGGCCTAGCTACATGGTCTGTAACCTGATTTTAAGATGTGCATCTATGTGAGAAATCAGCGTATGAGGACCGTGTTGTATGTACACGTGCCCAGGAGACAGCAACCTTACCTTAGGTCCAGGGCCACCTCAGTCAGGACTCGCTTGGTTGGCCTGTCCAAGCAGATTAGTCTTCGTTCAAAATGGTGACCCAAAATACACTAAGAAAACTACAAAGAGGTGGGCCTAACTAAATAATTTGACTAACACAAAGAGGCGGGCCTAACTAAAGAGGTTGACTAACACAAAGAGGCGGGCCTAACTAAAGAGTTTGACTAACACAAAGAAACTAAGAAAAACTGTCTGAGAGGCTTCTGGCCTCCTCTCTCAGAATCAACTTGATCGCTCGCACCTGAGGAATTATCAAGGCTGCCTGGCAGAACCCAGCCATGACCCGGTTGGTGTTGCCACCTGGGGTTGAAGTGTGGAAGTGTATCATGGTAGTGTGTTTGTCTATGTCCTAACATAAACCTTCCCCCACATCATAACAATACACACACACACACACGCACACAACAGCGTACACACACACACACACACACATGCATACACACACTGCATACTTTAAATGACTGAACTGTAGAACAATAGCAGCCCTGCCTGGATGGATCCACATTGTGGGTTGTTTTGGTATTTTGAAAGTTATATATCTTGAAAAATTGATTGCTGACATGCAAAACATTTTGGGACTATATAAAAAATTGACTAATGAAACAAATGCAAACATATCGTTTTTGGATGGAGTTTTCCTTTAAGTCCTGAGTCCTAACCCCTTGGCACAGTTATGCAGGCTTTATGGCTTAGTTACACAAGTGAGAGTAGGATTTGATTCATGGATGGCTTTAGTCGTATAGTCAGTCAGAGTTGGCTTTATGTCTTTCAAGGGATTTGGAGATTAAGGAGCATTCAGAGCCGCCCCCTGTACTGAGAGTGTTGGCACAATGACGGCCCAAGCTAAAGAGAGAGTGAGTGTGTGTGTGTGAGTGTGTGTGTGTGTGAGTGTGTGTGTGAGTGTGTGTGTGTGTGTTTGTGTGGGCACCAGCCCAACCCTAAGAGACTTAGCTGATTACTGGCATTGGAGGCACCATCGGAGGTGTTCTGCCTGATAGGAATAATTGAACTGAACTACCTCCTATTCTACAGTTACCAGGATTTACAGTCAGTTATATGAAACAATAACTATAGTTACCAGGATTTACAGTCAGTTATATGAAACAATAACTATAGTTACCAGGATTTACAGTCAGTTATATGAAACAATAACTATAGTTACCAGGATTTACAGTCAGTTATATGAAACAATAATTATAGTTACCTGAGGGCCTCCCGAGTGGTGCATCGGTCTAAGGCACTGCATCGCAGTGCTTGAGGCGTCACTACAGCCCCGGGTTCGATCCCAGGCTGTGTCATAGCCGGCCGTGACTGGGAGACCCATGAGGCGGCGCACAATTGGCCCAGCGTTGGGGAGGGTTTGGCCGGCCGGGATGTCCTTGTCCCATCGCGCTCTAGCGACTCCTTCTGGCGGGTCGGGCGCCTGCAAGCTGACACTAGGTCGGCGGTTGTACGGTGTTTCGTCTGACACATTGGTGTGGTTGGCTTCCGGGTTAAGCGAGCAGTGTGTCGTGTTTCGGAGGACACATGGCTCTCGACCTTTGCCTCTCCCGAATCCGTACGGGAGTTGCAGCAATGGGACAAGACTGTAACTACCAATTGGATATCACAAAATTGTGGAGAAAAAGGGGTAAAAGTAACACAAAAAAAACACCTATAGTTACCAGGACTTTACAGTCAGTTATATGAAACCATAACTGAAAGATCCTAAACAATACTTTGTTCTGTGTTTCTCCCTGACAGTGACAAACAAGCACCACTTTGTGGATGGAGGACTGCTGTACCAGTTCAGACTGAACTTCAGGAGGAGACGGCGTCTGATGGAGCTGCTGAACGAGCGCTGTCGTACCATCCCAGAGAGCCATGACAGCCCCTTCTGTCTCCGCAAACAGAACCCAGAGGGAGGCAACACCAGCTTCCTATCTGGTAAACCTAATTGTCTAACGATCCATCAAATGTAGGTATAAAGCCCTTTTTACATCAGGACTTGTTGTAACCACACCATCTAGTCACACTGGGGCTGAATCCCACTACAACCCTTAGCCCCTACTCACTAGGCACTATCTACAGTCACACTGGGGCTGAATCCCACTACAACCCTTAGCCCCTACTCACTAGGCACTATCTACAGTCACACTGGGGCTGAATCCCACTACAACCCCTACTCCCTACTCCCTAGGCACTATCTACAGACACACTGGGGCTGAATCCCACTACAACCCTTAGCCCCTACTCCCTACTCCCTAGGCACTATCTACAGTCACACTGGGGCTGAATCCCACTACAACCCCTAGCCCCTACTCCCTAGGCACTATCTACAGTCACACTGGGGCTGAATCCCACTACAACCCCTAGCCCCTACTCCCTACTCCCTAGGCATTATCTACAGACACACTGGGGCTGAATCCCACTACAACCCCTAGCCCCTACTCTCTACTCCCTAGGCACTATCTACAGTCACACTGGGGCTGAATCCCACTACAACCCCTAGCCCCTACTCCCTACTCCCTAGGCACTATCTACAGTCACACTGGGGCTGAATCCCACTACAACCCCTAGCCCCTACTCCCTACTCCATGGCACTATCTACAGACACACTGGGGCTGAATCCCACTACAACCCCTAGCCCCTACTCCCTACTCCCTAGGCACTATCTACAGACACACTGGGGCTGAATCCCACTACAACCCCTAGCCCCTACTCCCTACTCCCTAGGCACTATCTACAGACACACTGGGGCTGAATCCCACTACAACCCCTAGCCCCTACTCCCTAGGCACTATCTACAGTCACACTGGGGCTGAATCCCACTACAACCCCTAGCCCCTACTCCCTACTCCATGGCACTATCTACAGTCACACTGGGGCTGAATCCCACTACAACCCCTAGCCCCTACTCCCTACTCCATGGCACTATCTACAGACACACTGGGGCTGAATCCCACTACAACCCCTAGCCCCTACTCCCTAGGCACTATCTACAGACACACTGGGGCTGAATCCCACTACAACCCCTAGCCCCTACTCCCTACTCCCTAGGCACTATCTACAGACACACTGGGGCTGAATCCCACTACAACCCCTAGCCCCTACTCCCTAGGCACTATCTACAGTCACACTGGGGCTGAATCCCACTACAACCCCTAGCCCCTACTCCCTACTCCATGGCACTATCTACAGTCACACTGGGGCTGAATCCCACTACAACCCCTAGCCCCTACTCCCTACTCCATGGCACTATCTACAGTCACACTGGGGCTGAATCCCACTACAACCCCTAGCCCCTACTCCCTACTCCATGGCACTATCTACAGACACACTGGGGCTGAATCCCACTACAACCCCTAGCCCCTACTCCCTACTCCATGGCACTATCTACAGTCACACTGGGGCTGAATCCCACTACAACCCTTAGCCCCTACTCCCTACTCCCTAGGCACTATCTACAGTCACACTGGGGCTGAATCCCACTACAACCCTTAGCCCCTACTCCCTAGGCACTATCTACAGTCACACTGGGGCTGAATCCCACTACAACCCTTAGCCCCTACTCCCTAGGCACTATCTACAGTTACACTGGGGCTGAATCCCACTACAACCCCTACTCCCTACTCCCTACTTGTCTGAATATCTGAGAAGACTGTGAAGGTTTAACCAATGTGATGATTGGTTCTCCTTGCCTTCTAAAAGGCTTGGTGGATGTTTGGCCATATTGCTTACAGACACCTATCCAATCATCTTGGACCTACGGGAGTGCTGTAGAGTGTACAGTATGTGTGTAAAGGCCATCAGTAGGTTTTAAGACCCATAATGAGAAGCTAAAGTCAGCTAAATTAACAACCTCGTCAGCTACATTCTTTTAATATCCCCTTCAGAAGGAGCTGGCAGACAAAGCAATTATACCAAACGGTTACAGACTCCTAATGACGAGAATCTTCCAAGGTTACAGAGGAAAGTGCGGTACTGTGAGTTCCTCTAAGTTCCAGTTAACTGTTGTGGTCTGTCTCTTATCGTTGAGACTCACTGGAATGAGGAAGGAATGAGGGAACAGCCCCTCGACAACTTACAGATGTGTGCTACCTGCTGCTGGCTTTGGTTCCTGACAAAAACATCTATATGTGAGGGATTTTTGCAAAACATTTGATGCTATTAACACGGTCGTGGTTTTAAAGCTGCACTTCACTGTGTCACACTAACACATGGACAACAGGCTCTCACTTTAAACAAACAACTGTGGCTTTATAGAGACTTCATAACATGTTCATAAGCACTACACATAGATGCAACAAAATGTATTTTTTCATTCTCTAGGTTACAGAGGATTCGGTATGTTGAGTGTTCTCTATGTTCAGCTGATTTCTATGTTTATCTGTTCTTATGTTCGCAGATCTCCTATGAGTTCAATCAGGATTCCTAGTCTCGAGATCTCATGTTCTCATGGTTCTGCTATGTTCAATGGATTCCTGTTACAAACGATCTATATGTCATCAGGATTCTCTATGTCAACTGATCTCTATGTACACAGGATCTCTATGGTTTCAAGCGATTCCTTGTTCACTAGATCCTATGTTGCACAGGATCTCATTTAAGCAGGATTCCTGTTCAGCTATTCTCTAGATTCTAAGATTCTATGCTCTAGTTCAGCTGGATTCTCATGTCACGTTGTTTGTTCACAGATTCTCTATGTTCAGCATGATTCTCTATGTTCAGCAGATTCTCTATGTTCAGCATGGATTCTCTATGTTCACAGGATTCTCTATGTTCAGAGGATTCTCTATGTTCAATGGATTCTCTATGTTCAGAGGATTCTCTATGTTCTGCAGGATTCTCTATGTTCAGATGATTCTCTATGTTCTACTCGGATTCTCTATGTTCACGAATGAGAAGGATGAGACAGCCCACATTCACATGTTCTACCTGATTCTGCTTTGTTCCTGACAAAGAATCTCTATGTGGGTTTTGCAAACAGGATGCTATACACTCTGGTTTAAAGCTGCACTTCACTGTGTCACGCAATCCATGTACAACAGGTCTCCTTTAAAGATACAACTGTGCTTTATAGGACTTCTAAGGATTTCATAAGCACTAACTGAATGCAGCAGAATGTTTTTTCTCTCTATGTTCAGCTGATTCTCTATGTTCATCAGGATTCTCTATGTTCATCAGGATTCTCTATGTTCAGCAGAATTCTCTATGTTCAGCAGGATTCTCTATGTTCAGCAGGATTCTCTATGTTCAGCAGGATTCTCTATGTTCAGCTGATTCTCTATGTTCAGCTGATTCTCTATGTTCAGCTGATTCTCTATGTTCAGCAGGATTCTCTATGTTCAGCAGGATTCTCTATGTTCAGCAGGATTCTCTATGTTCAGATGGATTCTCTATGTTCTGCAGGATTCTCTATGTTCTGCAGGATTCTCTATGTTCAGCAGATTCTCTATGTTCAGCTGATTCTCTATGTTCAGCTTGATATTGCAGAGCACTGATGCACATTCCATGGTGACATTATTCTTTAGACTTTGCCCAACCACCTGCCACAGAATGTCCAACCATCCCGAGGTGTACTGCTTTATGGAGGCAATATAGAGCTTACCTGGAAAGAGTGCTTTCATTATAGACTGATTAGATAGACCTACACATGCCAGTCACGAAGTGCATGGGATCCTTTTACAACTAACAACACAACCTCTGACTACAGTAACACTTTCACACAGTATGTGCATCCCAAATGGCAACCTATTTCCATAGGGCTCTGGTCCCAAGTAGTGCACTGTATAGAGAAAAGGGTGCCTTTTGGGACATACTTAGTGTTCACTCTGAAAAGGAACAAACATTGAATTGAAAAAAGGGTCTCAGACCTTGAACATTTGTTTTGACTACATCAAGGGGGGGAAATGTGCTAACGAAGAAATGATGTCATCTCTCTCTTCTCTCTCCCGCTCTCTCTCTCATCTCCCCCCCCCCCCTCTCTCTCTCCTCTCTCCCCTCTCTCTCTCTTTCCTCTCTCTGTCTCTCTCTCTGTCTCTCTCTCTGTCTCTCTCTGTCTCTCTCCTCTCTCCCCCTCTCTTCTCTCTCTCTCTCTCTCTCTCTCTCTCTCCTCCTCTCTCTCTCTCTCTCTCTCTCTCCCCCCTCTCTCTCTCCACCCTCTCTGCCCCCTCTCTCTCCTCTCCCCCACCCCTCTCTCTCTCAGTGAGTCCTACTAAAGAGATCAAGATGATAGTGGGGATCCGTCGCAGCAGCATGAGTAGCAGCTGTGGCAGCAGTGGTTACTATAGCAGCAGTCCCACCCTCAGTAGCCCGGGGCCTTTGTAAAAGGCTCTCCATTCTCCTTGAGTGACCTTAACACACTCTCTCAAACACACACACACACACACACACACACAAACCACCGTCAGGTAAGAGGCTCTCCATTCTCCCTGAGTGACCTTAACACACTCTCTCAAACACACACACACACACACACACACACACACACACACACACACACACACACACACACACACACAGGTAAGAGTCTGAATAAGAGCCCTGTGATGTGCTGGTACCCTCTCCTCCACAAGACTAAGGTTCTGATCAGGAACTACTGAATATCCAGAACCAAAATTGGAGTGTTTTGGATACTCAGCTAAGTTACTAGTAGCAGCATCACACTGACAGAACCAGCCTGTTCTGGACTGATATCTGTACTAAAGACTAGTTCCTACAGCTACCTGACCTCTGACAGCTTGAGTCTGGGGAGAATCACACAACATGGTGCAGTCACAGTGTAGTGGAACATGTCATGATAATAATATAATAATAATATGCCATTTAGCAGACGCTTTTATCCAAAGTGACTTACAGTCATGTATGCATACATTTTTACGTATGGGTGGTCCCGGGGATCGAACCCACTACCCTGGCGTTACAAGCTCCATGCTCTACCAATTGGGCTACAGAGGATCTGTCATACCATCTCATGGCTGCATTATCTGAAGTGTACAATCTGTGGTTTGACCCTGTAGTCTTCTATCCTGTGGATCAGACTTCTGAACTGTTCTCAGTTTTGCTGTCTGTTAGCCTACAGATATCCAGGCTCTAGTCTTGGATAGGAGACTGTGTTTCAGATATCCAGGCTCTAGTCTTGCATAGGAGACTGTGTTTCAGTTATCCAGGCTCTAGTCTTGGATAGGAGACTGTGTTTCAGATATCCAGGCTCTAGTCTTGGATAGGAGACTGTGTTTCAGATATCCAGGCTCTAGTCTTGGATAGGAGACTGTGTTTCAGATATCCAGGCTCTAGTCTTGGATAGGAGACTGTGTTTCAGATATCCAGGCTCTAGTCTTGGATATGAGACTGTGTTTTCAGATATCCAGGCTCTAGTCTTGGATATGAGACTGTGTTTCAGATATCCAGGCTCTAGTCTTGGATATGAGACTGTGTTTCAGATATCCAGGCTCTAGTCTTGGATAGGAGACTGTGTTTCAGATATCCAGGCTCTAGTCTTTGGATAGGAGACTGTGTTTCAGATATTCAGGCTCTAGTCTTGGATAGGAGACTGTGTTTCAGATATCCAGGCTCTAGTCTTGGATAGGAGACTGTGTTTCAGATATCCAGGCTCTAGTCTTGGATAGGAGACTGTTTCTATCTAAGACTGCTGATAAAAAGATGGAAAACATTTTATGCTTTAGCTGTGAGTAGCTGTGTGTAGCTGTGTGTAGCTGTGTGTTAATGCTAAGTATGAGATTCCCTGTCTTCGGAACATTGGGTTCTCCCATTTCTCAAAATGAGAGAGCAGGGTGTTGAAAGCGGCTGTTGAAAGTTGTGTGGGTGACAGGGTTTGAGGCCAGGGTTAGGTCAGGGGAAAGTAGTTCGTAAACGTTTCATTAGCTGGTGTGCGTGCGTGGATATTTCAGGTTAGCCAAAGGGGAGTCCTGCTGTTTTCTTTCTGTTGAACTCTCTCCTGAGCTACCCTCACCTAGAACATGAGTTGAGAAATGGAAAGTGTGTGTGTGTGTGTGTGTGTGTGTGTGTGTGTGTGTGTGTGTGTGTGTGTGTGTGTGTGTGTGTGTGTGTGTGTGTGTGTGTGTGTGTGTGTGTGTGTGTGTGTGTGTGTGTGTGTGTGTGTGTGTGTACAGTACGAACCATATGACCCAATAAGGGCTGATCTAGCTAGAGCTGTAACAGGGGGAGTAGCCATTAGTTGGCAGTCATCCACACAGACACATACTCACTGTGGGACAGCTGGGGACTTACGCCAGCAGGCCAGCCTGAGGTGCTGCACGCCCCACTGAGACACAGGGTC